GGTGTGGTGTGTTGACATTCGTACGTTTCGCTCAGTAGTATCACGTAATTTAGCGGGTCAACCCGAGTCTGGTGTTCCCACAGCATGCCAATCAGAGCCGAGGCCATTTTAACGCGGGTCGCTTGCCGAGTGGTTTGACCCGGGTAGACACGCATCAGTGAGCTGTTCCCACTGCCACTAATAGACAATTGTTACCGGGTTTATATGAGTTTTTCTGCCAGTTTGAAAGGGGTATAAGGTCATGGCAAACATTATGCCTAAATAGCCTAAAGTACACATGTCTGAAAACTTCCTTCAACACCATTCAAGGAGCTTCATGTCGTTTTCTCAAATTAAAAACTTTTATTTGACTAAAACTTTAAACGGATATGAATCATTTTACTGACCTCACTTTCTGACGGTGCAGCAAATAGTGGCTTCGGGGAGTGGCGGCCTAGTGGTTAATAATAATAACTGAGCTTTACTGATCTCACATTGGAGAAATGTACCTCTGCGTTTAACCAATCCCCTTGGGAAGCAGTGGGCTGCCATCATGGGGCACCGGCAGAGCACCGTGGGTTAACAGTCTTGCTCAGAGACCCAGAGTGGTAGTGTGTGGAAGTGGGACTCAAACTCAGCCCACTGCTCCCCAAGGGGATGGGTTAAATGCAGAGTTAATTCCATTGCTCTGTATTTGTGACTGTAATGACAATAAAAGCTAGGAAGAAAAAGAAACAAAAATAGTGGGTTTGCTAAGATTTTCTGCATATCTTACTACATACAGGAACCGACCACTAGCAGGAAATCTGAGTCTAACGTAGACCCCCTGTATAACAGCAAAAGCATGGCTCTGTTCTATGAGCTGCTGAATTTTGAGACCCAGCAGTCTGCACAGGTAGTGGATGCCATCCACACAAAAGCAATAATGATCATGCAGGTATTTGCCAGGAAAAGCAAAGGGGATGGACCTTCCCCGAAACACTCATTCCAGCGTAAAGCCCTTCTCAGAAAGTAAAATAATTATTAGGCCATGGGTATATTGCAAAACTCCACTTTTGAACAAAAAGCTATGTTGAAGCTTGTGTACATGTAAAAGATTTAAAAAAGCCTGTAAAATACTGAGAGAACATAGTGTGGTCAGATGAGAGCTGAATTAAACTTTGAATGCAATAATGCACACCATGTTTGAAGGACAAAATGCACTACCCCTCAACCTCGAAAACCAAATACTTAAGGATGGAGGTGAGAACATTGTGATGTGGAGCAGTTTTCTGCAAATAGTACCGAAAAACGTAATATAATTAAAGGGAAAAAGTATGGAAAAATTAATTGAGAACGAAGCTGAAGTAACAATGATCCAAAACATAGAGCCAAGGAACAGGCCTCAAAGAAGAAAATAAAGTTACTAAATTTGCCCAACCAATCACCTGACTTTTCCAACTGAAACTCTATGAAAATTATTAAAAATCAGACACTATAGGAGAAGCCCAGCTTCAAGATTTAAAGAATTTTTCTATGAAAGAATAGGCTAAATTCAATAATTTTTCCCTGTGTCATTTCACATAAATGCAACATTTCTGAGCTGATTTATTGTGATTTCTTTCTATGCATTAATTACTTGTTACACCATATTTGGAGGACAAAATGCACTATACATCACCCCAAACAAACAATGCTGAAGTTTGGTGAGAACATTAAGATGTGGAGCTTTTTTCTACATATAGTACAGAGGAACTTCATATAACTGAAGGGAAGAAGTATGGAAAAATGTAACAAGACAGTATTGAAAAATGAAATGACAATGAAGCTAAAGTGACAATGATCCAAAACATAGAGCTAAGGAACTGTCTCCAAATAAGAAAATAAAGTTACTAAAATGGCCAAACTTCCAATTTAAAATCTATGAAAAGCATTAAAAATCAGACACTATAGAAGAAGCCAACCTTCAACATTTAAAGAATATTTCTGTGAAAAAATAGGCTAAATTCAATAATTTTTCCTGTGTCATTTCACATAAACATAACATTTACATCAGGTGAAAATGTTATTTTAGTAGCACATTTAGAAACATGTTTACTATGAAAAAGGGTGACATTTTCAATGCTTTAAGTTGTAAGATCTTCATTAAATCTAATGTCAATGTAAAGGAAGATACATGTTTGGAACTTCTTTTATGGCCTGACTTTATTGACAAACGCCTCTGCCTCTTAAATCAGTCATTTCTCAAATTCCCTCAACACAACTAATGGTCTATTAAAGGCCTGTCTGTCAAATAACAGCCGTCTTCAAAAACATAATCCAACTGTTAATTTCCACATGGATGTTATAAAGGTAATAGAGTTAGAGGCTACTAAATATTAAAGTAACTAAAGAACTTGACTGAATACCATTACCTAACTGTAGTATTTTTATGTTGGATGAAAAAAGAAAAAAACAAAACACACAAATAAGGAAACTAGTTGTTTTATGATTAGTGTAACTGAAAATATAAGGCATCAAGATTGAGTAACCCTGGCTCTAAATCAACAAGGTTAATTGTATGTTACTGTTCTGGTGAAATAAAGGCTAATTAAAAATCTGGTTTAATCTGCTATTTTAGTTTTTTGAAACTGCTCACATCTTAATTTACTAATCTAAGTTTGTTTGACTCTATAGAAAAACACCATAGAGTAATAACATTTGTTTAATTCTCATTTTTATTCATTTGTATCCCAGAATGTAGATGCAAATTCATAATATCATATCTCATATTTATGTATTTGTATTTATTATATAATCTATGCACACAGCATTATGGTAGATTGTTTTTAAATCAGGATATCTCAAAGCTTTATATTCCAAATGGCACATTTATCTGATTTAATTAACAGGCTTGCAGCATTTTCTCTCCTCTTCTGGTTCTGATTAATAAAATCAAGGGATAGATTCCCGAAGTAAACATTTTGCAGACATATTTACATGCAGGCCTTGCAGAGGTGGGAGCTTCACCAGTCCTGTCTGTGTCTGGACCCACTGGAGAGGAGCGCAGTGGCTCTGCATGACAGTCGGAGGCACGCCCCTCGTTCAGCCAAGCAGGGATGCAGGCTTACCTTTCCGGGCTCCATATGCTCTCCTTCAGCATGCACTCCATCTCCAGCCGCAGAAAAAGACGCCTGAGGGTTTGGGGCTGCAGAGAGCTGAAAGGAGGAGCAACCTGATTGAACTCTGGGAGTATGAGTCCTGATCATTCCGAGCCAACTGACTGGGACCTCCTGGTTTTTTGTTGTTTTTTGCCAACTCACGAATCCACCTGCATCTTGGCTGCAGTTACATCTTTAAACCACCAGGGGGCGACAATTTCTCATTAATTGACACATCAAAACCAAAATAATGAGGTAAATATGGTCCTTCCTAGCAATAAATACAAATCTTTACAGATATTGATATTGGATGTTTTAAAAATTAAATGAATGAAGTATTTTACCTGATATTTAAACCTCTTTCATCCCGCATTACATGGTTTGTCACCTGCATTTTTTATTTCTTTTTTCCTACTTGCTTTGATTCTGTTTTATTTTCCTATATTTTAATCATGTAAAGCACTTTGCATTGTCTTTGTACTGAATTGTGCTATACAGATAAATTTGCCTTGCCTTGCCATGATGCACATGTTAACATATGAAAAACATTAAGATATAATACTCTTGTATTTGATGAGATACAGCTGATTAAAGGCTGTGAAACACTCACCACTGGGTGTGTTGAAAAGTGACTTTTCCTCTTGTCAAACGCCTCACCAGCTCAGCTGACCTAAGTACTTCCTTTTTTAAAGAAATATTGCTTAACATTACAGTAATATTACAAGTGCCGGGAAACACCAATATCTTTTTTTTTTTTTTTTATCTGTAATATTTTTAATATAATCTTTTAGTCTCTTTAAAGAACAGAACCCAATGTGGCTTTATTTGGGCAGCTTGGGATTCAAAGTGTGCAGGAACCCCCTCTCTGTGCATCTTCCACTGCTTTTGACATTCCTTATCACACACTCTCAGCCGTACAGCTTCCTGCAGCAAAGAAGACACCTCTGCAGGGCAGTGGGAGGAGGGGAGACATTAATGTCCCCAGTTTGGTCCCCTCTTCCTCTCGGTGTGATAAAACAAGGATTCCTTTTAGTCTGTGCTGTCCAGCTGCACAGGCACATTCAGGAGCTCAAACACTACCTCCCTGTGTGATCTTCTGCTCCCCTGAGAAGGAGTTGGGTAAAGAAGACACAATAAATCAGGAAATCAGGAAGATGGACATGTTTTAGGGAGGCAGGATGCAGGAGTCCATGCTAACTGTTTTGCATGGTCCAGAGAATGTTGCAGAAAAGTGTGTGACATGTGAAGCCTCCTCATGGGGCTCATATGATTGCTCATCACTATCTCTCACACCTCTCCACCTCCTTCCTCTCTCGGTGTTGCATTTGTATTCTGTACTCACCCCTCCCCCTTGCACACACACATGCACACAAACAGAAACTGCTGTGAGTTCCCCTATCTGCCAGAGCCAGTTCCTCCATCTAAGATGCTGACTTGTTTATGTTGAGGGGGGACAAGTGCTTTTGCATCTTGCCTGATCTTGCAGTGCACCCTGAGACGGTTCGAAGCGTCTTCTCCAAACTTTGCTTTGTTGCAGGAAACAGCAGCATGAGGCTTGCTTTGCTGCTGGTCTGTGGTTGATAGAAGGCTTCAGACACCAGCGAAAGAAGAGGTTTAACCTGTATAGAGCGGTACAGGCCAGGGCTCAGGCGTGGAGTTCAGTTGATGACTTCTATGTGAGTGGCCCTCATCTCAACTCCCCTCCCTCCACCACCAGTGGCTCTTCTGCTGTTGCCTGCTTCTGCTGTCCCGGGCCTGTAAACACACACAAGAGGAGACAGAGGAGGAGAAAGAGGACAAGGAGGAGGAGTAGGGGTCAACCATGGAGCTGTAGGGACACGCTCAGATGCCCGAGCGGATCACCACAGGAGGAGGAGTGCTGCTGAGGAGAAGACCTCTGCAATGAACAAGACCAAGAGGTAATTAGAAGAAAAGAGTGTGCAGCTCAGCCAGAGCATGTCTCAGCAGCAAGGTTTGGGTGTGTGCAAGGGTGATCTGTGAACTTTGAGGTTATATGTGAGATGCAGTGTGAGTGTGGTTTTGTGCAAGAGGTTCTATACCGTCTAAAAAAGAAACTAAAGTTGTTGGTTTTATTTCCCGCAACAGTGTTTCTCCTTTTAATGCTTATTTTATTGCAAAAACAACAGTGGATGTCTCCAACCTCCATACCTGTCAGCTTGTCAAATTATCTATGTGTGTGTGTGTGTGTGTGCATGTGTGTGTGTATACTGCACACAAACAAGCCCTGACATTCAACTGTTGTGCTCTTCTGTGGAAAAAAGTGTTCTGCTTTTTTTTTCTCTCTCTCCGTCCAGCTTAACATTTTTTATTTGTTATTCATGTCAGTTTAGTTGCGATCTTTGCATTTGATTTAGTAGATTGTGCTCAGTTTGGTTTTCTCTGGTACTTTTGTGTTTTCCTTTGCTGGAGTTGTGACCACAAGTGTTATCTGATTGACTGGAAGATTGTGTGGGTTTTAGGCCTTATGTGTGTTCTGACTGACTTAAAGTTTTAAAGAAGACCCAGCTGAGCAGCCACGCGACTGACTATGACTTCCCCCCGTCAGTGGAAAAGCTTCTCTGAAATTAACATATAGAGGGAGCATAAAGACAGAAAAAGGACATAATGAAACTAAGAAGATGCTAAGACCTCCAAACCAACAGATCCACCCCCATGATTGCAGGGTTTCTCACAAAAGTTAGTTAATTGTGTCATTCTATAAAAAACTAATATCTGAAAACAGGTATTTGAAAAAGTTGTTACCCTCCAATGTTACCAAACAAGCTTTAAACATGGGGCCCATATAGGTAGAGAGTTTGCTGGATCCATTATCCATTGTCAGTGGGTTATATAACAGCCCTATGCTAACATAGATCTGAAAGAGGAAAAATGGGGGTAAAAACTGGGACCCCTGCAGGTTTATAGACATCTGAAGCCATTGGAACTGATTTCTTAATGCATATATAGAATCCTAGTAAGACATAAATAGGGACCAAACTGGATTTGACTGAATTTGGATTATATATTGTAGGACCAAGAGGTTTTCCAGAATGCCTCTGCTGAACCCAGGCTGTCTTAGAGCCCATCCAGTCTTATTCGTCCCGTTTACATTTTGGATGAATCTATGCAATGAACTAATCTGAACTCCAGTAGAATCTCTAAGCTACTATAAACCATGTTGCTGGACAAAGAAAAATTCTCTCTCCTCAAAATTATGCAACATAATTATTTTAATGATGGAGACGACGGTGCATTCATTTGGTTGGTAACCCAAAACAGAGACGTGCAACCTTTATCTCTGGTCCTATTTATACAGAAATAATGTAGAGTTTAGTAATTATTGTTCATTATATGGTTAGTATTGCTGTTAGTGTGATAATGATTATGTTTAATGAATGATGCAAATGTGTTTTAACATAGATGATAAAATGGGAATACATGGGGATCTTAAAACATTAAAGTAAGCTTAATTATTTTAAATAAATGCATACAAAGAGATATATTAGAGTGATTAATTTTAATGATTATGGCTTAAAAGTGATGAAATCCCAAAATGTAGCTGTTTAAAGAAATCTTAATTTAGAAATTTGGTGACTGATGAAAGGACAAGCGAATGTCTGACCTCAAGAAACCTCTATTTATTTTTTAAGGTGTGGGATCTGGATTTTCAATTTCCTTTCAACAGAAGAAAGGAAATTGGAATGTTGAGCAACAGTCCGCTCAAGCAAGTCGCTTCTGACATCATCTCTGTCTGTGGCTGTGGCTTAAACACAGGGAACGTGCCAGTTGCAGCACATTTCTTGGCTATGTTTGCATACAGTGGCCCTTCCAAGTTCTGACTCCAGTCCATGTCTTGTGAATCTCCCAAACAACTTTTTATTGAACTTTGGTTTATAATCCTGTCAAGGCTGCAGCAATCCCTCCTTCTTATGTAACTGGTTCTGGACACCTGGAAGAAGCACGGCAAGTTTAGAGAATTTAATGATGCAGCGAGACAGAAGGCATGAAGTCATGCTGATGGATTATGACAGGAGCAAATAATTGAAAGAAAAAAAGGAAACACATGTGCATGGAAGCAGCTAATTAGCTGAAGGTTGGAAATAATGAATTAAATAGAAAAAATACAAGGAAGAAAACAAGAGAAGAGACAGAAATAAGCAAGAGAAATAGACTAGAAAACACCTGGAAAGAAAGGTAAACAAACAAGACTAAAACCCCAAACAGGAAAAATGACAGAATACGGCAAGCCTACATGAACCGATTCAAAACCAAAACCTAGCTTGCAGAGCCTGACAGTTTCTGCCACATTTTTTCCTTCCATTTTACTTTCCATGAATATGCTTTGACAGCAATCTCTGAATGGCCAGCTTCTTTGGCAATGACATTCTGTGGCTTCAGTCTCTGTCTGCTGAACAACTGTCAACTCAGCAGCTTCTTCCAACGGCTGCCATCATTTCTGCAACACAATCTTGTTTCTTATTGGTGATCTATATGTTTTTCTTTCGTAGAGGCTTATTTTGGGTTTTTTTATTCTTAGCTGTGAGCTAATATCAGCTAAATTAAATATTCCACTTAATGTTTCCATGAAATGGGAGAACTTTGAAAATGTATGGCTAGCTGCTGCAGGTTTTTAGTTTGTTTTTGTCAGCAGTTTTAAAAGCTGCTGCTGTGTAGTTTTAAATGAATGGCCCTTTGCAGGAGATTCATGCCCGAGCCCCGGCCTTCATGCACAGAGACGGAACAAGAACACAGGTTGTGAGAAGGGGAGCAAAGAGCCTTACACAATCAAGGCCTTCAAAGGATCTGAGCATCAATTAATCAATTAAGAAAAGAAAGCGAGGAATTTGCATATCCCCCTGCCAGTGTGAGGGGGAGAGAAGGGAGATGAGGGAACTGGGATCAGGATGGGGAGGGGGGAGGACTGTGGATCTGTAGCCAGGAGCTCACACAAGGAAGGGAAATGCGGTGAGAGGAAGGGGATTTTTTTTATATAGAAAATAGTGCAGAAACTGATGCCGTAATGCTTCTTAGAAAGAGAATAAAACATTACCAGGATGGGCTTCAGTCTATTTCAGATAGATGGTGCTTGTTTTATCATAAGCAGAAGAGTAATTTTAACCTGATGGTTCCGTTTCCGTGGCAGAACTGTTAAATCAAGATACTAAATATTACCCAAGTAGCCTGACTCCTATGAAAAGGTGGATGCAAATCAACAAACAGAGACTCCATTTGTGTTCAAATTTGCATGGTGCTCAGCGGCTTCTATTTACCAACAGCGCTCTCTCTGTCTGAGCCTATCAAAAAGTCTCTGTCTTTTTTCTTTTTTTTCTTTTTTTTTTTTATAAAGACAGAGACTTTCACTGCGGCTCTAGGTGTCATACCTGAGAAGCACAAACCAGGGGAAATTCCCTGTTGAAGGTAATGACATCAACAACATTTCCCCATCAGCGTTTTCTGCTTGTGTATCAGAGTGAGGACCGTTTTTATGATTTCACCATCAAAATGAGGACCGTTTGTACCAAGAGGAAAGAAACTTTGCTAGTCGTCACTTTTGCTGAAGGTTACATTTACAACAAAGGTTTGAATTTAGTTCACACTTAGGTGAGCTATGCACTGCTTATGGTTAGGTTTAGGGTTATTGTCACGGTTAAGGCATAAAAATGACTGAAAAAATCTATTGAAGTCAAAAGGAATCAAGACCATACCATCATCCCAACATACTGTAAGACAAGGATGTGTGTTAGTTTGTGTGACGGCTTTGATAGCAGGTGGATTCAGGGCAAAGAGTAAAAAAAAAAAAAACAGCATCAATACAAGTAAGGACCTAAAAAGCAGATTTACTTAAATAACAGTTTTATTTATGAAATTATTTTTCATGTTGCTTTATTTAGATGATGTAATAAAAGACATAAAAAGGGAAACAGCTTCTTTTAGCATCTTGAATGAAAGTTCTTGTTGCATCTTCCTTGTAAAAAAGCTTTATTTACTTAGTTAAGCAACAGAGCTGTTTCTTCGAATTGCTTACAAACTGAAGAAGATATAAGGATGCACAATTCTATAGTTAACCCATACAGTTATGGTGCTTTCACACTCTTAGCATGCAGAGTTACATTGGCTTTACTGCAAAACTGTTTGCAAGAGCATTGCTCAGTCAGAAATAGATTTTAGAAAGTGGAATATACACTGAAACAGGAGCAGAGACAAGGGGGCTGCTTTGAAACACAACAATTTGAATTAATTTCAGTTATTTTTCGGGGGGGAAGAAAATTGCAATTTATTGGGACTGTATCTGCTAGAAGACTTAAATTAAAAAGCAGGCAATTCAGTAAATTCTACGTATGAATATACTGACAGTATCATCTGACAGTGGGAAGAACAAAACATTAGTGGGGATGAGAGAAATGGCTGAAGCTGAAAAACGGTGACGGCAACAAACAAAGGCGTACAGGGCAGATGATTTTATTTGTTGTTTATCTGATCGGTCGTCCTTGATCTTGAGTGTGTGGTAAAATTTACTCGTTTAAACAAACAAACCACTTGTAGAGCTTACTGATTGGTGTGAAAGCATGGATTGTAAAATTTAAAACAGAGAAAGAGTACTCTGCAAATACAACAACTTTAAATCACATATAAGGCAGAGAGAAATTTTGTTTCAAACACTTGTGGGCTGATTGAAGAAGACACAACGGCTAACGAGGGCCTGTTTCTTCAAAACCTCCAGTGTTACTACAAACTGAGCAGCATCTTTTCTCAATTGCCTGCCATAAAGGGCAAATATTATGCAATAACAGGTTCCGCTGCCTTCCCCAACCTCCTGCAGGTTCTTTTATTTCTCCCAGAGGAACTGGGGAACCACAGAATGCAGCAATACACCAAGAGGCTCTCCATCAGTCACCTGTAGAACTGCAACTGGTGAGGAAGGTGCACGCACTTTGACTTCCTGAGGAAATAAAGTCTTTGTTGGGCTTTCCCCACCTGCTGTGAGACGTGTGTTCCAGATGAGGTCAGCAGAGATGTGGACATCCAGGAACATGCAGTTCTTATTTTTCTCATCCTCCTTGCAGTTTACTGAGAGGGGATTAAGTTTGTGTGTGGTGCGCTGTAATTACGTCTTTCATCTTAGAGATGCTGGGGCTCAGATTATTTTTTTAACTAATTAGTATAGTATGTAGTGCTTGGCCTCCTCTTTGTAGGCCACATTCTAACCATTAATACTCAGATTTGCAAAAGTAATGCCGCCTGCAAATTTGACTATAGTGTTGGTGGAGTGAATGGGGAGCAAAGTTATGAGGGATTATTGAATCAAGAATGGGGCTGAGGACACACCCCTGGGGACTCCCACCTTTTAGGATGATGGTTATTTATATATATTTATCCTTCAGAACCGCTCTGTAGTTTATTATATACACATTTTGCCAAACATTTTACTATGTGACACTTGAACATGGGCACTAAATGGCAGACAGGTTCATTTACAGAACATAAACTAGAATGTCACAACCTTACCAGGAAACTAAGTGAGGCGGAAACAAATTACGGTTGAAAGCTTCATAGTTGGCTATTTTTGTAAATAGCTATTTTTTGACTGGTGGCAGTAAGAATTTACAGCCCATGATTTGAGAATATTTAAACTCGTTCTGGTTTATTTCATCCAGTTAATCACCCCTGTTAACTGGTTGTTATTTCAGGCTCTCTAGTTTAAAAGTCAAACCTTTTAGACAACACATGTAAACTACTGTAGATTACTTTACATCTATACTTCATGCACCTTTTCCTCCTTTGTGCACATCCTGTTGTTTATAAGAGCGGAAAAAGTCACAAGTTAATTTATCCGTCGTGAGATCAATAAAGTTCTATTCTATTCAATTCTATTGTAGCGCACTAGCTAGTCAAAAAACGGTCATTCACTGGTAGGTCAGAAGAAGTTTGTTACCGAGTAAAACTGTCAAAGAGTCAAAACGAGTCAAAAATGTCTCATTAGTAAATTAAATCATCTTGAAATTGTCTCACTTGTAAAATATTTGCATTTCAGGCTCAATAATTAGATAACTGCCAGGTTTTATATTCAGGTCATAGGATGAGAGGATTTATAATACCGCCTTATGGCAATTTTTGACTCATTTGGTCAAGCTAACAGGAAAAACATCTGGGTGTTTTGTGCAGCTAGTGAAACAGCTGGGTGGATAACTGGAAGCCCTGCAAATGTTAGTTAAATAAAATCTACTAGTGAGAGGGGTAGAATTAAAACTAGACAACATAGACGAAAACAATTGTTTATTTTCATTGCACAACATACACCAAATAACATGATACAGTGAAACAAGACTCAGTTTAATATACGGTATTATATATGAAACTGCAGAAAAATACAATCATCTAAAACAAATACATTTGAATTGTATACAATACTACTAAATTGCTGTGGAAATGAATTTAACAGTCCTGGTATAAATTGCATACAGTATGCCTCATTAGAAACTGGAGAACAGAGCTGCGACTGCAGCACCAACTTCCCCAAAATGAACAGCTGAGATCGATGGTATTAAATAAACAGCTTGCCACAGGAGTTTCTGTCTTTTTTGCTCTACAAGCGTGTTAATCTAGCTAATCAAATACAGTGGCACAAGCTGCACAGGGGAGTGTTTTGAACATTTTGAACAAAGTGTAAAGACATGTGGACCTGGAGGGGGGGTGGGGATGAGTTTCACTGCCCTGCAGGTTTTTAACAGCAACCACCTGCAGGATGTAGCCAGTCGGGGGTCATCAGTGAGGGATGCGGATTGTTCTACCTGGTTGGAGCTGCACATAGGGGCAGCTGTTGGTATAAATAGATCAGTTAATGTCACCTCACGCACCTCTATGTGTGTTGTGCATATACTGAACCTTTTATTTTTTGTTTGTGTGTGACTGACCTTAGGGATGGATGCTTCTGCGGGGTTACATGTAGTGCATGTGCGTGCCTGTGTAGGGGATATTAGGAGGCTGGGGGAAATTAGCTGCACACAGAATTCAAAAGAAGGGGATGTAAGTCTGGCCATTCAAGGAACTTCTCTATGAGTTCTCTGAACTGACTGCATTTCCTAGTAATGTCATCACAGAGGCTGCAGCTAAAAGGCTGACACGGTTTCGTGTCATTGCAGAACGCTCGCAGTTTAAACGGACAAAATCTGAAGGAGCTGAGAAGAAGTTTTAGTTTCTTTACAGCTGAGGTATGACAGCTAGGTTTCATTCAAATGACAGAGCTCTCATCTTTTACAAAATAAAACACTTAAAAAGGAACAAAAAGAATCAGTGACAGGTTATTGAGAAATAAAGAGAAACATTGCTAAACTGAATGTGTGGTTTTTGGAAGAGGAAGCTGAAAACTAATCACGACAAAGAAAAAGGGCGCATTAATAAAGGGGACCTCACACAAAAGGCAAACACTTAGCTCTGCCGCGTTATCTGAAATGAAACATCGCAGCTTTCATCCTGTGTGATGGCGAGGAGCTCAAACCAAAGACTTCAAACTGTTTCAGAAACAAGTTCATGTTCCAGCTTTTCACAAGAACGGCTGCTTTTGTAAGGTTTCCGCAAATGTGATGTCATAGCCGAGGTATCGAGGGCTGGCATCATTTTGTACTTTTGTTACGGCTCCCCAGATTGCAAAGTAATTGGTTTATTTGAAAGGGAGAGTCACCAAACATGTGACATTTTCCCATCATTGTTGTAATAACCATGTGGTAACAAAACTGCAATCATGAATACGTTTAGAGTGAGACAAGGATACTTTTAGCACTTATTCTGTTTTTTTTTTATTAGAAATATTATTTTACAAGAAGGTATGTTTTATACAAATAAGAGTTTTGCATATATTTGCTTTAATTCCCTTTTTAATCTTGTATCCAGTGCAACTTTATCCCAGTGATGTCTGCTCTGTTCTTTGTTTACATTGGTTTGGTTATGATTACACCCACATGAATGCATGCTTTTTTCTTATCAAGGGTTTTGAAATAAAGGAGGTAAATAAAAACACATGTCAGTCTTTTATGTAATCCTGTTAAGATCAAGGAATCAGTGTTTATTAAGGAGTAAATAGGGATGTCTGCAAATACATTTTATAAGTAGAATTTGTTTTTTCCTTTCTCTTTGCAAAAATACCTATGATGTTGTGCGACTGCATTAAATCACACTGAGATGCCTTGAAGTCTGTGGTTGTGTCATGATAAAATTAGATATAGTTCGATGTTTTGAGTAATTTTGCTTTGTTTTGGTAAATTCCGACAGGCAATGCTTTGTAAACATTTTTGTTCTAAGTAAGCTGATTGCATTTTGTCTGCCCTTCATTTATCGTTTTAAAAGAGGCTGAAGATAGAACATCTAGAGTCTATCTTTAGAGTGATTCTGTTTGTGCGTGACGCCTCAAAGGGCTGCAGAGATGCAGCACCTCTTATCTGATGTGGGGAGCTGCGCTTCTGCACATGCTGACCTGCACCATCTTACCACAAGTTGCTCTACTTATTTCTAGACAACTGACACTCTATGTCTGTCTGTTGCTCTCTTTTTGTCTCTGTCCCTCTCTAAGGAAACCCAATGTGGAGACTTCTGGCAGGCCAAAGGGCGGGAGGCAGGGCCAGCGCAGGAGGAACACATGTCCCAGTCCTCAAGACATCAGCAAGGCCCTGCAGAGCCCCAGCTCTGCTCCTAGTGCCAGTGCTGCCAGCCTGGATGAACTCATACTGCGCTGCCTGAATTGTTTCGGTTTGTCTCTGCTTTGTTACGTACACACATGCTTATATAGTTTGTGGTGCTGTTAGCCTACATCAAAACAAGGTTGCCTACACTGAAAAAATTATCTAGAAATAAGTAAACATTTCTTCAATTAAGTGTATTTACCCTTGATTTGAATAGGTAAATAAGATAGTTTGCAAATGGAATGAGTATTTTTACTCTTAAAATAAGATAATTCGATAATATGCACTTGAAACAATTGTATTTTCTTATTTTACATCTAAATTGTCTTGTTCCATTTGCAAAATGTCTCTTTTATCTTCTCACTTCAAGAACAAATGAACAAACAAATTATTTTAAGAAAAAATGACTTCTCTAGATTTCATTTTTTTCAGTGTAACTGAAAGATGAGTTAAAGAGAAGATTGAGCCCAGATGATAAAAGGGTTTTCTCATACAATCAATTTTTGTTGTATGAGGAATATCTCTCCCTCTCTTTTATTAATTGCCTCATCTAAAAAACATAAATCCGAATATCTGCAGAGAAATAATCACCTAGGATCAATTGAACATGTTTTAAGACACTAGTTCATCATTATGATTTAACGGTTTATTTAAAGTAAACCTTGCACTATGGAAACTGCAGCAGTATAGGTGGTATTTAAGACATGGAGGAGAGTTTTTTAGTTGTTGCTTCGTCATACAATGAGAAGTTTCCACTCTTCACCAGCAGAGGTGTCAAGTAACAAAGTACAAATACTTTGTTACCTTACTTAAGTATATACTTTGCTGAAGCAATTGTTTTTAGACAACTTTCTACTTCTACTCCTTACATTTTTTACAATTATTTCTACTTTCTGCTCCTTACATGTTAAAAGTAGACTTATTAGGTTTGTTTCATTTAAGCTTGTTTTCTTTATGACCTGGTGGTATTTAAAAATAATTTTTTTCATCCAGACAATGAATTTCTTTGTGGTTGCATCAACTTGTTGTGCTCCACGTATCATCAAGATGATGCAAACCTCCATTTGACTGTTACCGTTAGTCATAAAACTAAGAAAAGTAAGTCTAAGGAAGTTATCATCCTGAATTGTAGAAAAATTTTCCTTTAATAGGGTAATGCAGTAACAGTATAAGGTTTAAAGCATCCGTTCTTAACATTTTCTCCTGCATTACTTTTATACTCTAAGTAGTTTTAAAAACGCTACTTTAAACGAGTAAAAAGCTTAAATTTATACTCTAACTTCTGCAAAAGTGGTTTATACTTTCACTTGATTAATAAGTATTTATACTTTTGACACCTCTGATCACCAGCAGGTTTTATTTGAACTTTTTTTCAAGAATCATTACACAACACAAACTTCAGTGTTTGTTTGTTTTTTTTAACCTGAGAGTGATATCACAAGTTTGGTTCCTTTGTGGATTTCCTCTATTATACACATGGTAAAAAAAATAAATATTCATATGATAAATGAACTTTATTAAGGGACACAGAGTGGCAGTCTGTGGGAGTGGGGCTCGAACTCGTAACCTCTGGCATAAAAGCACAGTTCAGTTAGGTTCCACTCCCCCTATATAGGCTCCCATGCATACATTTACCTCTGTTGATATTTGAAGACAAACTTTGAAAAAGTGAATTTTCTTTTCACTGTCCACTCAAAAAGCATTTTTACATTGCGGTGCGGATTGGCTAATTTATCTAGCTGCAATCACAACATTTGCAGTCATACCATAAATTACTTATCAATAGGCAACCTGAGGTTTAAATTGGTCCCTTAAAGCTGTAATCAAACCACCAATTTTAAATTGCACTTTTCTCCCCACTGAGAAATTGAGGAATTTGAAAACAGTCCTTCCTCATTATTTTATTTAATAGATGTGGTGCATCACAACCACTATCGCTAAAATAAAACAGCCAAACCGCATAATACTACAACCACCACCACGCTGTCCATTGAGAAAACGTTTTTATCCAATAAAAAAATAGACAAAAGCTTGGTGTGTACAGTATGTGCTCCAATTTTTATTAAAGGGATAAAAATGCTTTTCCTGCAGAGGGTGACACTGGTATTTTAGTGGATACCAGTTAAATTTTTAACCTTGCTGGTCTTTAATCATCCTAACCAATTTTCTCTAATCTTACATGGTGTCACAACAGGACAATGTCCCCAGGCATCTTTAGCTGGTTTATTGAACAGACCGTGTTTTTGGAATAGTTTTCCCAAGGTCCAGTTGAAAATTTGGTTGCAATGGTTAAAAATTGAAAACAATCTATTTTAAAGGAACTGCATGACTTTTATAAATATATCCAAAGGGAATCATACCAGGAGCCTGTTGATCTCCATAAAAAGCCTTTCATCACAAAGCAACAAAAATCAGAGAGGAGAACACCCAGATTTGGATCCAAATTCTGAACATAAATGACTAAAAAAGTGCACAAAAGGTTAGGTAGGGAAAATTGTGTTTGGAAGATGCAATCATCTCACTCTGGAGTAAGGATGGTTAAACAAATCATTCAAAACCCTTAAATTTATCAGAAGAAATGTCTGAATTGGAGGAAATCTGTCTACCTGAGCTGCAGAGCTCACTGACCTGAAATGAACCGACTCCAAACAGACCGTTGGCTCAGCTAACTTTGTTTTGGTTTTGTTTAATCCCTCTGATTTAAAGACACAGATGTTTCTTCCTTTCTAGATTCAGAGGGGAAGACTTCCAACCCCCGAGGTTCCCAGCTGGTCAACATGACCCTGATGATGCACAGCTGGGTCGTTCCATCTCAGATGTTCGTCCAGAAGCTCCTTACCCTATATCCTTTGGTCTCCTGGAGCGGCTGGTGCTCTGCTCCCCGTCACATGTTTAGTTCTGCTATAATCAGATCAAGAAACAGCCATTGCTTTGTGTGGGGCTCCTGTAAAGTAGATTTGGAGCATACATATCACTGCATGGAGTTCAGTTGTATGTTCATACTATTGATATGGGTTAGGATCCTTGACTTTTTTCTTCCTACCTATAAGGATTGTCCCTCCGACAAGAGAGCACTGAGGCGGACACAGATCTACCACCTTGTACGGTGAGTAAGGACACCAGTTGCAGCAGAACTGGTTATCCTGCTCCATTTGCGAGTAGTAAACATGTTTTGTGTTCTGCTCCGGGCGTAAGGCAGTGGATCAGCAAGTTCCCGGCAGTATTTGAGAAGGACCCCGTCCTGGAACAGATGATGGGGGACCTATGGGAGCTGGTCCGGCTGGACGGAGAACAGACACACTCCCAGCTGATTGACACCTCCTGCTTGTGAGTCCTGCTTTCATTCAGGCCACCTCCGTACTCTAGAGGAAATGTTGTTTTCTCAGTTTAGCACATTTTTTTTTCAATAAAAAACACGGTAGACTATTTTTGCCTCATGTCTCTCTCTTTTCTTCCCAGAAGCCCTCATTTGAACGCATCACAGGCACCCTCGCCCTCTGTGAAGAAGAGGAAGGTGTCTCTAATATTTGACCACATGGAGCCGGATGAGATGGCCGAGCATCTAAGCTATCTGGAGTTTAAAAACTTCTGCAACGTCTCTGTAAGTTAGCGGTCAATCAGCATACGATCTATTGACTATTGTGAGGAGGTATTTCACGCTCTGTCTGTTTGTGAAAGGATCAGCCACAGTTTTAACCTGTGTAGGAAACATCAAACTCCTCTTTCCTCAACTCCATCTGTCCATTTGTTTAGGGCAGGGCGATCCAATCTAAGGCCCCAGGGCCATTTGCAGCTCCAGGAATAGTTTTGTGAGGCTCCAGAAAATTCATCCCTGCAGCGTATTTAGCTAGCTACAAAACAAATCATTATTATTCCATTTTGTTTTTATGTCAATAAATCCATCAACTGTTACTGAATAGGAGACTTTGGTAAATCCATTACTGAACCCTGGCTAAATGCAGGGAGAGTTTTCAGATAAAGTTCTTGTTTTTGTAGCTGGAAAAAAAATTTTTTAAACATCAAAATAGAAAACACCTGAAAGGGATTTCTTAACTTCAATAATTAGCTCTTTAAAAAAAATGTTGTTTGTCTAATTTATACTTAATTATGTTTTTCAGTAGTAAAAACATAAGTAATAACAGCCCCTTAGCGTTGTCAACTTGAAAAGCCACTGGGTTTGGGCCTAATATAGCAGATATAGCAGGGGAATAATTATCAAAACTAAGGAACTTACACAGAGAAAAGTTGCAACTGGAAAATATAAAATTTATTTTATATAGGTATCACAATCATATTCTTCAAAATACTGCTATCTAAGAAAAACCTGCTGATTGTGAGGACTCATTGATTCTCTGCTATCCCTCACACTGAGCATGCATGTGGAGACAGTGGAAAGGAAAACTCCCTTTTAATAGAAACAAACCTCCAGCAGAACCAGGCTTAGTGTGAGTGGCCATCTGCTGAGGCTGACAGAAGCAGATGAGGACATAAACAGAAGAAGTTATTTGGCACTCTGGCCCCGGCAGAAGACCTTGATGCTGTGAATCATCATACGCCTTGGATGAGTAACCTAGAAAAGGATTAGAGTAGTCTCACCTCCTGGTGGTGGAATAAGCCAGAGGATGAGTGGGACTGAGAATGGGGGAGGAGGTGGGTGAAAGTTTGCTTATGTGTGGGAGACAGAAGCTGGGCAAGGAGTTAAATGAAGAGGATCTTGAAAGATGATTGGCTTAGGATAAGGTGCGGCCCCCAACTGATTGGATGGAGCTTAAAGAGGGACATCGCAGGTGGTTCAGGTGAAGCTGATAAGATCTTTCAGATTGAATTTCGCTTATGTTTCATTTCCTTGGACTTTTACAAGTTTGCTTTTTAAAATATTGCCTGTTATTAGTCAGTTAATTAAAAATTGTTTTGTTTGTTATTAACTGCTCCTAAAACCAGAATGTTTATCCACTGCAATGTAAGCAAACAAAAACAAAACTCCTAAATTTCTTTTGTATTTAATCTTCATATTTAATTGATTTCTGTGGATTTCAATATATATTTTTATCAGTAGTACTTATAAGAAGTTATACATATGTAAAAATATATGTATGTAATCATACTCAAGTCTTTTCCCTGTAGTTGTCAAATGATTTGTAAATCAAATGTGAAAATGGATCCAAATTTACTTGTGAATTTAAAGGTTAAAACCTGGAAAACTTTGCTAGTTCTGTCTTTTTTTTTTTTACTTTTTTAGTTTTGGTCTAAAATTAGGCCTGAATAAATGTCTCATTTACTACCGTAAGTTAAGGGGCAAAAAAACTGAAACGCATTTTCTTACTTTAAGTGTTGATTTGTTGATTTAATCTTACACACTATCATAAAACAGAGTGCATTTCAAAACTTCAAACTCTTGAACCTTTTCACATTCAAATCACAAATATTAATGTAGTTCATGATCATGCAATAGACCAAAACAAGGTAGTGGTTAGGTGTTGGAGGGAAGAAAAATGAAGACATGTATTATACTTTGTACCTCTTACTGCTAATATTCCTGTAAATCTTTGGGGGTTCTGATGAGATCAAACAAGAGAGTATATAAAATGAATAATGATATACATGTCTACACCTTGCACCGCTTTTACAATTAATGACATTAATGTTCAACATTACAGCTTCGCTGGTGTTCAGTATAAATCTAATTTAGGGATAAGGCAATTCTGAATGAACTATTGTGATCAATCGATTAATATATGCAATAAAAAACTGCCTCTTTTTAGGAGATCACATCCTTCTTATTTCAGTCCGTTGCTGCAGTTTGCACAGGCTTTATACCAACGAAAACCAATCTTCTTCTGAATTGTCTGAAGTCCGAATTTACCTCCACTCCATTACTAATTGGCAAATCCCTCCTTAGCAGCAATGCTCCGTGTTACTTGAATGAAAATAAATAAATTATTCTGCTCAAACTCTGGATCTCTGCTGATCTTCCAGGGTTAGCATGAGCCTCTTTGATTTCTGTCTGATCAATTCTGGGCAACATGTGAGAACAACTGGTTGCCCCGGATTTTATTTAGTTTGTATTTATTAGTAGCAAGTGGATTTCAGCCTTCCTCTAAACTTCTCAAATTCAAAAGCTAAAAGCGCCGGAGATGTTAATGTGTTACGATGAAAAATTCTTTAAAGGATGCTATCAAACTAGAACCAAAGCAAAATTACTGTTATCACAATAAAAGCACATAATAACAAAAAAACCCTGTCCTTTAAAATAATAACTATGCAGCTGTCAGTTAAACACAACTGATCAAAACTGAAACTTTAAACACAACAGCTTTCCGTTGTGCGAAAACAACAAAATGACACATCAGTGTCTTCGTGCAACCTTTCAGAGAGAAAGGTACAATATGTGATTTCAACATTTGGTCAACCGCAAAGCCTTGTATGACTTAAAAAGCATCATCTGTACAATTCCACGGGGGACTCAATGTACACAGCTACAGAGTTAGTGACCTCATGTATGAAGAGAACTAAAGGCAGAAAAAAGGGACTAAATAATGATTAAGAGCAGAAAGAAAAACGGTTGGATGTTTTGTTTCAAGATTTGATCTTTTATATTTATATGTCTGGGACTTAAACTGCAATAAATACATGTTGCTGTTTTTTTTACATAACACATTTATAGATCAGACAGGTTGTTGAAAAGGGGAAATTAAAAACATGCATGTTTACATATATTTATAGTTTATTTTTATGTCATTAAAATATTTTGATTGCAACCTTCTTTGATAAAACTTAGGATATAAGGTTTTCTTTTTTTCAAAAATTTTTGTTTTCAAATAGATGATACATATTTGTGCAATATTTTTTATGTACTTTTTTTTCATTCAATTACTTGAAAATTTAAAAAGCTACAAATGGTGTTTGCATATAAGTAGGTTTAAATTAGTTTACAAATATGAGCATATGTTGAACCTTTTACGATCTCAGGCTCATAAACTCATTAGAAAATACATGCAAAAATTAACTGTGTAAATGACATTGTTGCACAAAAAAACTTTTTAGTTTTTGTTAAGTAATTATTGACAGTCAGTACCTTCTGAAACCTCACTACTTTGTTGACAAATTCTTCGAAAAGATATGTTATTGTAATAGCATCATCTCAACCATAAATATATATTTTTTTTAAAATAGCTTCATGACATTTATTTAGTGGTAAGAAAACAAATACACATTTTATCACAATCAGTTATATCAGCCTTATTTGCACCAACAAAATAATCCAGTGGATAATTTTCTCCTAAAATATTTTGGAGCACAAGGAGAGGAGAGTCATTAAAATTGTGGATTAAGGTTAGGAGACTGAGATTGAAGAGAAAGAAAGTTTACTTTGCATCTGATTAATTACTTTTGTGCAGATTTGGTCATATATGTTTTGGGTTATGTGCTACTCAACGATCCATTTTCGGTTTTCTTGCAGAGGCTTCTTCTACAAACAAAACAATCTGCAGCATTTGTTTCCAAAGAGATCATTTTTCCAAAGGTCTAATGTGGCAAATCTCCATGGTTCCATTAAACCGGCTCAGCTGGTTTATGTTTACGATAGTAAAACAAAAAATTGTATTTTCCCTAATAACTATTTAGCATGTAGACAGTGTCTAATGGTTTTTATGGAGATTTGATGATCGTAACTTCTGATTTTATGGAGAAGTTTTTTTTAACAGCAAGCTTTGAAGATGCATTACTTATTCCTTACCCTCTGGCTCTTTGTGTGTGGTGTAAGATAAACTTTGGTCTTTATCCAGCCTTTTTTGTCACAGTTTCAGTTTTTAAGTGATAATTTTATAGGAATTAATTGAATTTGACCCTTACTTAAATGAAAGCCTCTCTTCTCCTGTTTTGAAGACTGAATTAAATCAATTAATTTGCCTCCCTTTCAGATCTTTTTGGGAAGTCATGGATAACTAATTTAAAAAAGATCCTGTTTGAACAATGTATGACTCTTAATCTGTAACCAGTCCTTTACTAGATTGGGATATTTTCCCTGTTATATACAATTTAGATACAATTTAAACAGTTTACTTTTCCTCACCTGAAGAGTAATTTAGTAAGAGCATCAGTGAGGTCTTACTTTATTTTTTAGTTACAGATTGGGGCAGAGAAACTGAAAAGTAATCTGTAAAATCAGGAAGATTGAAGTTATAGGTGCTGATTTATTTGGGGGTTTTTTCAACATTGTTTTGATCTTTCATCTTTTATCTCATCCATCAGTTCCTAGACTACCGCAGCTACGTGGTGCGAGGCTCTGTGAGGGACAACCCTGCCCTGGAGCGCTCCGTAATGATGTGTAATGGAGTTTCCCAGTGGGTCCAGCTGATGATCCTCAGCAGACACACTGCCCAGCAAAGAGCCCAGGTCTTCACCAAGTTTATTCACGTGGCTCAGGTAACCAGAGGCCTGGAATCACCAATCACTTCAGCACTTCAGTATCTTTAGGGGAATCATGGCTTCGTTTTCAAGTCGTTCATTTAAGGGGTTTTTTCTCCTGCAGAAACTGAGAGCCTTGCAAAACTTTAACACTCTAATGGCAGTAACCGGAGGCCTCTGTCACAGTTCGATCTCTCGCCTCAAAGACACGTCTAATCTGCTGCCTCCTGACATCACTAAGGTATTTTCAGTATTACTTATAACCCCTGAGTCAGTGTTGATGACTAATTTAGCTCAAAGCTTCAATAATTTACCTGCTTTAAAGACATTATATCACTCTTTTCGCTCATATTTAATAAAATAGCTTATTTTAGTGATTAAACTTGCTCTTGGGTTTTGCATTCCTTTACAGCAGATGGCCTCAGATCAATAAATGTAAATATAAAAACGGAAATGTTTATAATTATGATTGTTTGGAAAATAAGGAAAACAGAGTTAGTTTTAACGGCCCCACTCAGTCTGCAGATATAAAGAAATCTTATGAAGAAACTGGCAACACTAAAAGAGTTCAAAAGGGAATACATAAGTCCCCAAACAAAATTCATTAAATAGCATATAAAAACAATGTCAATGTCATCTATTGATCTGCAAATGTATACAAAAATATTTCTAAAGCTTTGAGCCTCCAGCAAACATAATATAGTGGTGGACTTTCCCATAAGCGGCTGGCTACATAAATGTCTTATCTAGGAGATCACATAAAAAGTCACAACTTCTAGAGCACTTGTAAAAGTTCAAGTCTATGTGCACAAATCAACAACAAGAAGCCGAACAAAAACAGCCTCCAAGGGGGATTTCCAATGCCAAAACCACCAAAGAGAAAAAAAGCAAGAAGGTTCAAATTAATTTAGCCATAATAATCACAAACTGGGACTCTTTTGAAGGTCTGTCTGGTTGAAAGTTGTAAAAAAGTGGGTAAATATCTGTATAAGGATAAGATTAATAAAAGAATAATGAATTAAAACTTGACCTCTGCATTCAACCCATTCCCAAGAGAGCAGAAGGCAGTTTGAAATGTTGGGGAGCAATCATACCAATGGCGAAACACGGTGGAAGTAGTGTCATGTTTATCTGTGTTTTTGCTGCTTAAAGAGCTGGAGGGCCTGCTGCGTCCATGGATCCGTTATCATTAGCAGAAAACTAAACAGAGGTGGAATGTGAAGCTTTTCAGTGTTGACATATAGCTGAAGGGTTCTGTGGTTATAAAGACGGACAGTGATCAAACATCCGCAAAACTGCTGAAATATAAACCAAATCAAAACATTTTAGTGAGCTGATCGATTTCCAGAGAGTTTATACTGAGGTGTTAAACAATAAGACCCTCCAGTGTGGCTAAATTCCTTCTTTTTTAATTGAATAATTTTCTTTTTTGCAAAGAAAATTGTGCCAAAATCCCCGTACAGTGATCGAAAAGACCAGTTGGCAGATATTCCAAACAACCGATGGCTGTCGTTACCACCAAGGCTAGTTCTACGCCTTAGGGGCCTTTGGTTTCTCACATTGGGCAGAAATAGTTCTCTCCTTACAAAATTAAATTACTCATTTAGTAACAGGGTTTTGTATGATATTTGACTGGTATTAAAATGAATTTAATATTTCACACTTTGAAATTAAAAATATGAACCAATAAATCTTTTATAGCACATCCATGAAAATGTTGACCATGTGCTTAATGAAATCAAGAAATAACTATTAAATTACAGAGAGAGCATAGACCACATAAAAAACACATAAAAAAAGGCAGATAAATAAAATTGATCAAATCTGTAGATAAACCCAGAATTAAAAAAAAAATGTCCATGTATCAAAAGCCTGCACAAGAAGCCTTAAACCTATAGTTAAACAGCCCTATCCGCGTTTCAATGGTTTTAAACAGCTTTGACCTCAGAAGTATATGATTAAAGCCGGACCAAACTAAAGAGGTCATTTGGTTTTTGTTTTATATCCTGTGCAAATAAATAAAATAAAAAAGAATGGCAATAAATAAATTTATATATTGATTCCATATCTCTATTTTATTTCTTATATATATTCCATATCCGCTTTATGTGATCATCTTGCTGATTATATGTCACTGCAGCTTTATGATTAGCATCTCAAGGCTCTAAGTGAAAGTAAATAAACAAAAAATGTAAGTGATCTATAGTAAGTCCCAGAGTAAAACTAACAGTAAGTAAGTCTTTGTTAAATTTATTTTAAAAAAAGTAAGTAAGGCATTTGTGTTAAAGGAGAGTTTTAAGAGCTATGATCATCCTATAAAGTTTTAAAGCATTTTTGTGGAGTAATAACCCTGCTAAATTAAAGGGGGCTGATTTTTCCTTGATTGTTGTCGGTTTCTCATCTG